AACGCCGGTTTCCTCGACAACGACGTAGTAATATTGATGAAAATTTCAAGAATCGTACTGATGAAGCTAGTCAGAATTGAGCATGATCCTGCCATGTGCCCAGATGCTTCCCTTTCATTTCCGATAAAATCTACTTCTATATCAGGTGATCCATACTGATAACTCTCTACTCATTTTGGGAAACTATGACGAGCTTTTACTTTAAGAGCCCCTACTAGCCGTTGAAATGCTTCCGAACGTTAATTTCCTGTACTTATTGGTAAATCTGACTGACGAATTAAGGGAAGTGCCCTTTTACGGTAACATTCTCTGTAAAATTTATAACTTCCTTTCGACGTCATGTACTAGCTTTACGATTTATTCATGTGAAATTGAAAGTAACGTAGCACTTCAACGGAAACCATCGATAACCCACGCAATGTGACTAATATGTCATTTTTAAGTCAAGTTTTCACTTCCGAAGAAGCTAGTAGTTCGATAGAGTTGTTGTTAGACAAATGTGCTACCGATCAACTCTGGTAAGTTTACTTTACCTTTTAAGATCTGAAATAAGTGAAGGATGGAGACTTTGGCGTTGTTCAGTCCCGTCTCAGGGTGCTCCCACTGCATTCGATCACCATTCGGAATAAATAATAAGTAAGATAGAGAGAGATAAAAAACCGAATGATTTTGCAAATCATCGCCTTGAGGAAGCTTCTGAAAACTTGCTTGAATTTATAACTTTTTTTAAAAATCTTGAAACTCCGACGTGCACGATTCCTAGGAGGACGGAGATCGTTCACATCCAGTTCCACAGAGAAAACTGGGATCGTGCAGGGTTTGACCTCGAACGTGCACGAATTCTTGTAAGTTCGAAATGTTTGCAAATTTTTACTGCCCTCATTGATATCTGTAAGGGCGCCTGCAGAGTGTTTAATCCTCCTATCGCTATCAATCACGCACTAAATCCGATTTGGTCCGATTAGCATGGTTATTTTCTATATATTCCAATTATTTTCCATATATTCTTATTGAACGTAAGCTGATGCTCATCAACAGCATTTAGTACATAGGAATTCACTCAAGAGCGTTGGTAGTATTATTTGCTCGTAGACCTCCTTCTAAGCATTTTTTCATGAAATAAGCTGAGCCAAAACCAACTTATGTATTTTTCCCACATTACGAATCCCCCTGTATCTATCAGAAATGATTTATTCTGATGTACTGCCTTGTGGGGAACGCACTCTTATGAATGCTTGATGTGAAGTTGAAAGCATTGTGAAAATTGACAATGTGGACATTGACAGAATGACGCCGATCGAATACTTCAGCATTCTGAATAAGTGGTACCCTTTCCTTCCCTACCCATTTTGCTTCATTGTCTGATCTCTTCGAGTCCGTTTTGAAACATTCACCCACTTTGCAGCCCAAACTATTCCTCCAGATGAACTGCGAGCTGTTC